TTCATCTCGATAAGATGTATTGATTTTTATCCACGAGCAAGAAATGTCCCCAGATTTGATTTCAGAAATCTGGTCACCTTAATATATATATATATATATATATATATATATATATATATATATATATATATATATATATATATATAGTGTGCACTTTTTTGTTTAAGTTTGTAACCTCATTGGTTAATGTGACATGGGTCAATTATTCCCATAGCTGCTGTTGTTGAATTTTGTTTTCTGTTTTAGTAATATCTCGGAGAAAGCCATCCATCCATCAATTTTCCTTTATGTTTATCCCAATTGGGGTCACGAGGGGTGCTGGTGCCTATCTCCAGCTGTCTACTAGCGAGAGGCGGGGTACACCCTGGACAGGTCACCAGTCCATCACTCGGAAAACATTTTCTAAGATTCTACAGTACAAAAACAAGTAATAAAAGCATGTATGCTAATATTTTATAGCGTCATTATCAGTATCAGTTAACTCTCAAAGCTGTAATATCGGTACCGTACTGAACATGAAAACGTATCCTGACATCCTTACTTTGGTCCCTAGAATACCTTTTCTTGTCATCTCAAAGGGATTTCTAACCTGAAACTTTCTTGTTTGATTTTTGTGATTTGACAATTTTAAGACAACAACTTTTGTCCATTCAGATTTTCAATTTTTCTTTAAAGTTAAAACATATTTAGAAATACATCTCTTCTTTTACTAGGTGTACTAACTAAGGACAAGAACATTTCATACTTTAATAAGAGTCTTGTGAATTTTCTCACTGCTTTTGTGTAAACATTTTCAGAGGATAAAAATAAGTCTACCAAGATGGAAGAACAGATTTCTTGGCTTTTGCAAAGTAATTATAAAACAGGTGATAAGGTTTCTTTCAGATTTCTACTCTGACTAAGTACATTTACACATCCTACTTTGGCTTTTTTTTTTTGTATGGTTAAAACTTAAATGAAATAACATAGAAATAGCCAACACTAAAGAGCTGTCCAAAGACAAGCCATGTTAGTAGTTGGATTCTTACTGATTGTATGCGGTGGACAGGTGTCGTTATGCAGCTAACAACCTAAAACAGGTGTATCTAATTTATGATAATAAAAGGAGTGGAGGTGGACATTTTGAAGGCAGACAAACAGGTCTTTGAGGGTCAGAATTTTAGCAGATAGACAGGTGCACATATGATTATTTGCAGCTGTATCCTACAAATAAATAGTTAAAAAAACCATACATTGTGATTTCTGGATTTTCTGTTTAGATCATGTCTCTCACGGTGGACATCCAAACACGATGACAATTTCAGACCCCTCCATGATTTCTAAGGCGAGAGAGAGTGTTGAAATACTTCTTTTCCTCACTGAATATATACATCAGCATTCTATAATGTCATACAGGCAAGCAAAAATCACAGCAGATTTATGGATGTGCTGCTGTTTGAAAACCACAGGTGATAATGTCAGAATAATGCAACCATGAGCAGTATCAAGGTTTGCTGATTTGTTCTTGGTGATTTTCCTATTTCTATTTACATGTCAGCAAAGGGTATGACTTTGTAAAACCAAATTTCTTATCTAGACTACAAAAATATCATTACAGCTTTTATTGAACCATTCATTGACCCATGTGTTCTCTGTGGGGATTTGACAGGAAAAAAAGCATAATTCTCACAGCAATAACAATGTCTGGAGGCAGACGCATTGTTGGTAGTTTGAAATAAAAACTCCAGAATTTTCTCCTTCAGTTAAGTCTTTAATTACAGGATGGTGCATGGTGAAGTTGTATAGACCTTTAACCCCTCCCCCACCCATTTTTAGGTCCTCTGCCATTCTTGTTTAAGTTATATTTTTATACATTCTAACCAGAACTTGGACATACATGTAGTTGTTTTGATTAGAACAAGAGATAATTTATTTCAAAGACAAATATATCACTATAATTCACAGATTATTGTGCAAGGCTGACATCACCCCAGCTTCCAGTCAAAAATGTTGCCCTGACTGTAATCCTGTTTGCTGTACCGTCCTCACATCACTGTCTGTCATCCTGCAGCCTGTCCTTGATGACAGAAAGGTGAGGCAGACAGATGGGAAACAAGTCCTGACCGGTTACACCCAGGCAGTATCTTATGCTCCCTGAAGCCTCGGGTGTTTTGCCGTCTCTGTTTTTTCACGATCTGGATACTGTGTGTAGATCATTTTAACAAAAAGTACATCTAATAGAAATACACATAACCTGGAAAGGGTTTTCTGCCTCAGGCCAACTGCTGAAAACAGAACAAAGGAGGTCTCTTTTTTTTTTTATTTGACTTGAGGAAAACCGCACAATATTTAAATCAGTTTAAAAGCACCGTTTTTCTTCTATGTAATTTCTTCTTTGTGGCTAGGCTTTTTATTATCTGAGTATACACAATTCTGCTTTCAACTTTAAAACACACCCCTACTAAAATCTATTGAGAATTCAACCTTTTTTTCCTTACAGGCTTTAAAAAAATCTATTCTGCAAAGAATTTTGTTTGTTTGAATTGCTTGATTTGATTTTGACCTCATGGAATAATATTAGTCTAAAAGTACAAAACAACATGCAAGAACATCTTTTTAAGGACGGTTCATATTGTCTTTAGAGGGGTTGTCAATAGTTATAAGCACAATGGTATCTATTTTGTTGATTCATCAATTTATCTAAAACAATTGATAGATTTACTACTAAAACAATCTATAGCTGCAGCCCTAGCCATTGCAAAATCGCAACATGAAGAGAAACCATTCAAGTGCTGTTCCAATTGTATTACATTGTTATTTCTGCATAGCTAATCCAGCTGTGATTATTCAGGTAGAAGAATGGGCATTGGTTTCTAACCTACAGTAAAACACCATGTTTTGACTGTGAAGTTGACCCCAATATAAATGCTTTTATTTACATTAGAAAAAAATTTCATACTTCAGATAAGATAAAATAATAAATCAAATTTAACAGTTATATATTATTATCAAGATTTCTAGACTTAAAAATAAGCATCTGTTCAGTCCCCCATTATTTCTGAGGTGCTTGTCGGTTTATGCTTAATGGGTCAGCACGGCTAACCTGGCAGCAGCTAGACTGATATGTGTAGAACTGAGTTGCGTTCTACGTTATTTGTTGTGAGAATGAAAACTCAGATCTCGCAAAAAATCCAGCTTTTAGTGCAAGGTTACAGTATGGCACCCTAAAGCTAAATTACGTAATTTCTATCATCTATGCCCGTGGAATGCGGCTTTGGTGCGGCCTGAATTATCCACATTGCGTATCTAAGAAAAACAGTTTGATAAAAAAGCTGACCAGGGGTCAAAAATATAAACATGTATCTTATAAGTTGGCCCATAAGCAGTGACAGCTGGCCAAAAGAGGGCGCCACCCCACCCGCCCAATGACCCTGATCAAGACAAAAAAATATATATATATATTTTTTTTATAATAAAATTATTAACATTTAAAATATTTCAAAATACATTAATATGTATTTTTTTTACATGTGCAAGATACATATTTAATCTTTAATGACTAGTAAAGCGTCATTCAATTTTTCAACGAACTGGTTATATATTTTCGCCCTAGGGCACAAAAATCTTTGCCTATTGACTCTCATTAAAAGTTGTAAATGCGCAGTAGCTCTCTGCAATACAAAGGTATAGGAGAGCTTGGGGCGTTTAAGTTTAAGATGTATGTTAAAGAATGTGATCAGAACGTATAACGTGATAAGAACGTGATCAGGTGAAAGGTTTGGTGTTTACACATACTATCAGATACCCAGTCAGTCTTGCACAGTATTTGTCCCATTCCTTTGTTTTTCCTGTCTTTTGCATGCATTCATCATCATCAAGAAAATCTATTTTGTTTTTACTTAAACTTTCAATGTCTGCTATCAAAATGTTTGGTCTGTAACTTTCATATTTTACAAATAGTGAAAACAGAAGCAGTCTGTGATGAGGTATATAATGTTACAGAAACCGTGCCAGCCAACATCTGGTTATGTTTGGTGCCAAAAATGACAAAGGTTTTCACATTACAATAACCTGATTGTATGAATACTGACATTTATGTTCATTTACTCTTGAAGTCAACAGCTATTAGCTATTAGACAGGTGAGCATCCAGCTTTACTAGAAGCCTTCTCTCTTTAACTATTGATGAGGTTGTAAGTGGTCCACTTGCCCTGCCCGCTCCTCTCCTTTCTCTGCCTCCCTTTACTTCCTGCCTGTTATTTCAGCTGGAGACGTGGAGACAAAGCTCCTACTGGATGCTGCTCCCTCCACCTCCACCAAAATGGCTTTATGTATTATTAAACACTGCATGCGGTCTCCTCCTGAAACCTGTGTTATTGCTGTAGAGGTCTGGGAGGTGTGCTGTTTAGTATTTTGCGGTATAGGGCAGCACATGAGGCCGGCGGCTGCAATCTAACATTTATCATCCGTGAGAAGAGCAGCCACCTTAGCCACCTCTCCAAAACCACAGAGTGTCATTGTGATTCAAACTTCTCCAGCGGATGAATACCTGCGACCGTGAAGGGCTGATATAAAATCTAGGCTAGGTTAGTGAAGTTTCAACTCAACCTTCACATGGACTGAATTAACTAATTTTGCTTTTTAAAAGTTCACATTTATTGAATTTGTAAAAAATAAAACTATGTGCATGAAGGAGACAGCCTAAAGTGTCCATTTTCATCAATTGGACTTCAGATCTGGAGCTGACGGATCGAAACGTTTTATCTCAGATCTGCCTGACAGCGGATTGTTTTTGTTATTACAGATGGACTCATGCCTGGACTAACCAATATTACATTTCACAGGCTTAAGTGTGTGCCAAATCCAACCTCATCACAGGGAAATTCAAATCTCCTGGAGAAAGGGCTGGTTTGTATTATAGAGGACAACATTCAGACGAAAGAAAACACGTAAAAACTCTCCAGACGGGGAACAAGTCAAAGCCTCTGGAAGCTTCAAGCTGAGATGAAATGCAGATCTTACCTTGCATTGTTGTGCTTGTCGGCTCTGGAAAGAGCGGAAGAAGCAGGAGATAGATGAGGTAGACAAAGGACAGGACATTGTACCTGAACAGACAAGCTGTGGGGAAAAAAAGCAGAAAAATAGATCAAAATGAAGATGAAACATCTTTTTAGCTCCTAAAATATGGCAGCTAGGTCATCATTTGGACCAAGTAAACAAAGATTATGGGAAAACATGGGATTCAAATCATCAATCTATATCTGGTGTGGTTTGTATTATGTAAAAACTTAAAATTTAAAGAATTTAACTCAGTTTACATTGTTTTGTTAACACAACTGCAAATATAATATATAACTGTGAGGGTCCTCAGTTTTGAGGGGTCTTCACAGAAATTTTTTACCTTCACATTCCCTTCAACTTTTGTGATTTCTTTTGACATTTTTAGAACCATAATGGCCATTTCTGAAAAAACTCCTGGTCACACCCACATAAGAACTCTCCAAAATAGTCACATTTTGTGTTATCATTGCCATATTTGAGGCTCCAATAGACTAGACCTGTATTTTTCTGAGACGATATCTTTAGCACTTCTTTAGAAAAAAAATGAAAATGGACAAAAAGTCTAGACGAAGTAACATTGGTAAATTTCTCTGCTCCAACTTTAGCAACTACAAATTACTAAACAACTATGACCACATGTTGGGCTGCTAGATTAGGGTGTTGAGTGTTACTCTTATGTACAGATGGACAGACAAGATCGTGATCACATATAAACTCAAACCCACCAGCTGATCATTTTTCCTGAGGTAGTTTTATTTTATCTAGGGGTGTATTTTCTAGGGCCCAGAATATCCACCAAATTTCATGATGGTGTTATAGTGACACGAGAGATTCTTGACTTTTCACTTAAATGCAAAATGAGTAAACAACAGAAATATCTACATCAATTGCAAATATGGGAATCTGATGGCATAAAAATAGACACCGAACAAGAAGTGCACCTCCAAGTAGATTTAAAGGTCTGACGCCATGCTTTTTAATCCTTCTTAAGTCAACAAAAGGCATATATAAGATGGAATATTGCCTTTGCAATGCGCAGTTTCAGCGTAGTCCTGTTTCTCTAACTGACTGGCTGGATGTGCTCTCTTTCATTCTCTGACATGGGAGCTGGCTTGGAGCTCGCCTCCCTGGCTGTGCAGGTGGTTGACAGTTGCCTTTTGTATCTCTGCTTCTTTCTGTATGTCTGCTTCTCTTTCCTTGAACCCCAGTCGGCCTCAGCAGATGGCCGCTCACACTGATCCTGGTTCTGCTGGCGGTTTCCTCCGGTTAAAATAGAGATTTTCCTCTCCACTGTCACAACAAGCATGCTTGGAGTGAGGGATTGCTTTAGAGTCAATGTGTCGATGCAATCATCTGGTTTTCCTTAGATAGAAAACTTTAAATCAGTTTGACTGTATGATCTGGTTGAATTGTCTCTTTAAAGTGCCTTGAGATGACTTGTGTTGTGAAATGTTGCTATATAAATAAAATAGAAAATCAGAGTGTTCTTTCTTCTTATATAATAATTGTTTTCAGGTGCTTTTTTTTTTTTTTAAGGAGATTTTTTTCTGTTCCATTCTCTGCTCCAGTCTGTAATTAGAGTGAGCAGAAGCACCCGCCTCTCATGTTTATTAATACCTGCCTCTCTCTTCCAGTCTTTGACAGACTGTCTCCTCCTTTCCCGTATGACAATGGCTCTAGTGTCAGTGTGTACAGCTAGCCTTCCTGTGCCCAGTCTGCCCTCATGTTCTGAATTGATTCTGCCTGTCTCCAATCTGCTCAAAGCCTGCTTCCAGCCTGTCAGTCACCATCTAGGTTCCTAAGTCTGCAATCAGCCTGTTCAGGTTTTCACCAAGCTTAGGCAGTCTTCACCTGCCTGCTCAGGCTTGCTACCAGTCTGCCTACCTGCATTCAGGATAATCTTCACAAACTCTCATCTTTACAAACCTTTTTAGCACAAGACTGTGTCAGGCTAGTTCTCTTGTTTGTCAGAGGTTTTCACGTTATGATCAGGCCCTCTAGAATTAAACAAAAGCTGATCTAGCCAATCAAACATTACATCTACCAAGACAATTTCTTTCTACTGTTGTTGTGCTTGCGTTCATATTGCTTGATATATATGATTTACAACAAAAAACTGTCAAGATATACTCATAAATATTTATAAATACTGATTTGTGGCTAATATCTGTCATTAATAACAGTCACAAAAAAAACACAACCCTTATAGTACCTGAAATGAAGTTAATATTTCCTTTTATATATAAACTAATGAATAACCAGATTTCTACAGGTTATAATTGCAGTTACTCAGAATTTAAAATGTGTGACCTTTAATTTCTGTATCCAGCTGGTTTGGTTCTGGGTTGTAAGTGGACTGCAGTGCAGCATTGGAAAAACGCAAAAACATACACAAACACTACTAAGGGAGTTTAGACCAAGTGAAACTAACATCCATGTGTTTGGACTGCAGGAAGAATCACTTAAAGAAATAGTGGCAGAAAAAAGGATGTTTTGCAAACTCAAAACAGAACCAGTAAATCTTTCTGCTCTCAAACAGTAGCTTTTTCTCACCTTAAACTTGTGACATGGGCCGGATTTATCAAGATCCAATTTTGCGTGCAGTAATTTGCGCTCGCAAAGTGGAATTTTGCGCGAGGGGCTGAACCATGGTTTGCGGGTGATTTAACAAGAGCGATTGCGTAACTGGTGGAAGGTGCAAAACTGTTGGAGACGCCCTATTTAAATGATGGTTTTGCGCGTTTTGTGGTTTGCGGCAAAGTAGTTTGTAGTCTGTACAAACTAGTGCATTAAGAAATTTAAATCTTACAGTGACCCCCAACAAAAATAAATAAATAAGTATATATATATATATATATATATATATATATATATATATATATATATATATATATATATATATATATATATATATATATATATATATTTATTTATTTATTTATAAATTGGCAACCTTTATTCCCTAAGGTGGTATGTGCTGCAGTAAAAAAAAACAAAAAAAAAAAAAACAGGTGTTTTGTATTGGCCTGTGACTGTGGATGGGATCCCCGCAGCATTTGGCACGTTGCTCCACAGGCGCAGGGGGAGAACCCCGACCCCGTCGGACAGCACTTCTGAAAAAACGAGATTAGGAGATCCCAGCTCACGCTGCAACCGTACGCTGGAATGACCCAGATGCAAAAAAGTGCAATGTTGCAAGGAGTTTTGTGGTATCTGGTATTGCGTGGGTCCTCCTTGTGGCTGGCTCCAAATCCATTCGGAGTTCCCCCAACAGCTCCAAAATGGCAATGCTGGATAAACGATATGTTTTGATGATCGTTTCCTCGTTCATTCCAAAAATATTCACACGGAGTGAAAAAATGCGTTCTCTGCGTCTCCTTGCTTCATTTCCATGTCTCCTTCTTGCGACAATAACCGCTGCCATGTGTGCGCAATTACGCATACAGACCATTTGCACCTTCTTTTGAAACGTGTTAAATATAGAGTCAGATACCGTTAGCAAAATTGCGTTCAAGTTTGATAAATCACTTTGCGAGTGCTAAATTAATATATTTACATGTTCTCCTCCCACAAGACGCACTTTAGCGTGTAAACGCCCCATATTGCATATTCATTGCAGAAAAAGTACTAAATGGATCACAGGCGCTATTTAGCACGTTTTAAAGATCAAATGCTTTTAGCACGCTGTTGATAGATCAGTTTGTACATTTTTTAGCGTGCGCAGTGAAATAGCTCACGTTTTAATACACGCAAACCTTTGATAAATCCGGCCCTAAACCTTAAACTGATTCATAAGAATTAAACCTTAGTATTTTTGTTAGAATTTGTGAAATAAATGTTTTAAGTAAAAAATATTTACCGAAAAATCAAGAAACAAATGTTTGAAAGTGGAAAATATTGAGATAAATCACATAAATTCAACAAACTGATTAGACTGAAGCATCAATTAGTTTCTCATTAAAATGCCTTGGACTTATGTTTTTCCAAAAGAAAAAAAAAATAAAATACATCACCATCCTTAGTATGTTATTAGACCCTGCGTGGAGATTTACATAGCACAAGACTGCATTTATTACTTTTTGTCATTTTTAAGATCTACAAAAAAGTGCAGGATCGTGTTTTATAGCTAAGCGTCATATTATTTTCGAAAATGGCCCAAATAAGTAATGAGGGCAATAAAATATATGACAGTTAAAATGATATGTGTGCATTTAAGTGCACTGCTACATGAATGTGTTTGTGCTCCTGTTAGGAGCTGACAGGTAAGGAACATTGTGTGTACATGCAAGAGAGTAAAGGTAACCTGAGCTCAATAAGTCATAATCAATACAAAGATATTTTGTAAGTCTGAAAAAAAGAACTGTGGATGAAATTATTATTTGTCTAAAATTGGAATAATTAACATTTGCAACTATCTAGATATGATGTAAATTGTTTTGCGTGGTGATATATCTCATGCTGCACATTTATATGTGGGTGTTTTAAGAGGAACATTTTGTGAAGATATGTTTGATAACTTTGCCTGTACCGCAAACTAAATTCTTGCAGGATTTTTGAGTTGCAAACACACACTAGTTAATTTATCTTGTACTTCTTCCACTTCAGCTGCGTGAGACAGACACAGCCCAACCAAAATCAATATGGCAGCACAGGAACACATATGCGTAGATGCTGATCACATCTGTTTTCTCAGATACCATCATTTTTATCTTCGAAAAAAGGAACAGCAAGAATGTAAAAGTATAACTTGAGGTATTTAATGGTGTCTGCTGCCATTTTATTTGTTACCATGATTGGCTAAAACCCAACTTTAGTAGGTGGACACTAAATCTTCTGCTCAGCGTTTCCCCCAATCAGCTCAGATGCTTCTAGTGAATGTTCCTTGTTTCCCTGAACACATTCGATCGAAGCAGTTTCAGATGAATAATGTGCAGAAATAAACCTGAGCGCTACACATTATAAATCCAGCTTCCCAGGCTAATCTTTGACAGTTTGAAAAAAAACACTGATTTTTTTTTATTGTAAAAAAAATAGTATGGGTTTGAAAGAAAGGCTGA